AACCACAGCGTATATCAATTAAGGGTAGAAACCGGTGCTCTACTTGTTTGCCATGCCCATGTTTTTCTGAAAGAAACGGATAGACAACACAGTGGAACATATCGGTGATCTCTGTCCCTGATATGAATTGAAATCAGTAGTCATCGATGCACAGATGCGTCACTATTTAGTTTTATTGCTTGTCCGAAAAGCCATTAATGCCATTGTTCCAACACATCACTAATGGCAGGCAACCTGGCGCTGCTGTCCGGTGCCATGCTACCAAATAAATTTTCTGATGTCAAGGAGTTGCCTCTGATAGCGCCGTGAAAGTCTTACAGTTTGTTGACTGCCAATAGTTAGTCTTGGCACCATGTAACAACACTTGCATCACATCCAGTAAATTGAAATTTTGGTGCGTAGAGTAAAAAACGCTGGATGTTGTGAGGGGATCTCATATTGCCGGCGGTGAAACTGCTGCAGCGTATATTAGATCTATGAAGAAAAAGGCATGTTGGCCAACCCCCCCCCCGGCATCCAGGCGGAAGCGCCAGGGCCCACCGTCTCTGTTAACCTCAAAGGAAGTCAAGCTGGAATATTCGTCGTGTCGTCTGCCCTTTTGCAAAGAATGGCCAATCCATATTGGGAACAGTGGAAATTAAAAGACGCTTAACAACGAGATACCTAGAGATAGAAAGATTTTAACATTTGTGTCGCTTTGATTATGAAGAAGATGAAGATAATCACTCCTTAACCGGTATTTTGTTGCATTCCGTTTCCAATAGCTAATATTTATGTGCACACCATATTTGAAAATTTGTGTTGCAGCTTGAAGCTAACGATCTTAGAAAGGAGCTGTGCAACTCCCAGTTCGAAATTTTTCTATTTAGCAGTACTCTACTGAAACTTTTTGAGAATTTGCTATTTTATCTTGATGATGAAATTATGTATTATAGATACAACGACGATCCATGGTTTTGGAGTGAAGACTGGTCCCTAAAGCCAGAAAAAAAGAGGAAATTTTTTCAGAAGGTACAAAACTTCTGGGCGATCATATAAATTCGCTGAAAAGGTAGTTGTTAGGTGACCATGAGTTGCCAAATCCTGCAACACTAAACGTCGTCTTAAATGATAGCTACAAGATAAAATTCTGACGATAAAGCAGTTTTAATTTTGAACGTACTACCTAAACAGAATCTTAGTTTGTAGAAGAAGAAACTTAGTTTGCAACATAAATGCAGGAAGTGCAAAGTCCAAGTAAATAATGGTAAAACTAAATTCAAACAACTGTCTGACAGTTACATACTGTCTGTGTTTAGTGGTTTTATTTGTGCTAGCGTTCAGGAATCGTAATCTAGAATTGATTGCATTGACTGCGAAACTGTGAAGTAGGGAATTCAAAACTTGCAGCTAGACAGACGGCCTGAACAGCAACAAAGAGTTCATTTCACGGGATGAAAATCGCGCCTCCTGACTTTGCATTTGACCGGTTACCATTTCTTTTGGTTCGACACAACTTGCTTGTTTCTTGTTTTGTTAGGCATGTAGTGGCCTCGCCAGTTAAGGTTAGTTAATCCATAAGAAATGGTGGACATCATCAGCCCAGCCGTTATTAGGTCATACCACTTCTTGATTTTGTTTGAAAGAACGCTTTTTAGAATGGCGTGGTATATTGCTAGCATAAAATAAAGAAGTGGCCTTCGCTTTAAATCTCAGATGTGGTAACCGATTTATTCTCGAACATGGCTTGCGAGTTATTGTGCAGAAAGCAAGACGACTAACCTCTGAAGGTGCTCCTACTACGTATTGTGAAAGTGCGCCGAAGCTTTACAATGGTGCGAATATCGTCACCTGGCAGCCGAACGCTGCGCAAGCAGTCTCTTAGCTTGACTCGCAACAAACCCAACGTCCTTTTTAGGACCAAAAATATAGGCCAATACGAAATAATCTCAACTGTCCTTATAAAGGCCATAGAAGAAGAATAAAGAGACTCAACGGTCCGTATGAAGGCTACAGATGAAGAGTAAGGAAATTCAGCGGTTTTTATGATGGCGAAAGACGTGAAGCCGGGGCCGCACACGGCATTTTCTAACCGAATGTCAATGATATGTCCCACGGAAAATGCGAATTTCTGTCGAGGATGTTAAAAGCGGACAGGATTGACGTCGACATCTTGTACGAGACGCACACGGAAAACTATCGCAAAGCGGCCAGATAAAAAATTGATGAGTTCAGTATGTTCGCTGAGAGCAGTCAGTCCAAATGCTGTTTAGATACCAATGCCGGGGTAGACCTCATGGTCTCACGACTCGAATTTGCTGCACTAAGTATCAGAGAACTCGTAGCCCGTTTGCCAACACAGACGCTATCAGCGCTGCTCATCCAGCTGTTTATGCAGGAGACTTTAACCGTCACCATATTGCATGGGTTTACGCAGTGAACGGTGCGACGGGTGAACAGCTAACCGATTGGACATCAACGGCTGGCAAATGTTTGTGTCACGATGCTAAACAGCAGGGTACTTATAGGTCAGCCAGATGGAACACTGGCCGAAGCCCGAACCTCTACTTCATTTACAAAGACAGTAACGGAATCCTTCTCTATGCCTCCGGTATAGTGCTTGAATTCTTTCCGAGAAGCCGACATCACCCTGCAGTGCTCCGACTTCAGCAAACTGACCATTGCACACTGGGGAAGTCGAAGACCGTATCTAACGAATTGTGGCGACGCTTCAATATTTAAGCATTTTGTGCTAATGTTTGTGTCTGCTGCGGCAAACAACATCCATCTTTGTTACAAGAAGATTGCACACCTTTTTGGTCGACGGAGACAGGACCTTTACACGGAGTGCCGACGCTGAGTATCCGCGGCAACTGCAGTTGCACTCTTCGAACCTCGCAATTCACAGCGGTTGAGTGACGCTCTGGAAACGTATGACTTCACTCTCTAAGTCATAATCAAGGCATAGGCACCGCTGATCCTACAAAACACCGAGATGCGAAAGTTTCCGCCGACGCCGTTTTGCACACCTCCTCCATACGTCTAAAAAACCGACAGAAAAAGTTGCCCGCAGAACAACGCAGAAAGAATGTTGTCTAAACCTTGGCACTTGCCCTTCAGAATGCTCTCTATCCGCTTTATACATTCTCTGCACTCTAGAGGAAATAAACGTTGCACTTGCGACTACGTTAGTGGCAGTTAGTGTAGATAAGAGTTTCCCGAAATTTCTTTACTCCTTTGGTCCAAAAGGTCGACAGAGACCGGCCTCTTTTTTCAGAGTTTTTCCACAAAACGGCAAATTCCGTTCGCCAGGCGGCTTGCAAAAGTTGTCGCCATCCTAGAGATAGGAAGACCTCAGGAAAGGCCTGACTACTACAAGCCTGTCTCCTTACTGTGCACAGCCAGGAAACTGATGGGGCGAACTTTGTTAGCGCAATTTCACCAGTAATTGAAGCCGTCCTGTCTGTAGAACAGGCAGGATTTCGATCTGGAGGGGGAGGGGAGGGGTTGTTGCGAGCTGTTGCTTTCGGTTACCAACTTCATCGATACAGGATTTTAACGGAAACAAAAGCAAGGGTAGTTTTGATCGACTTTTCACCGACTAATGGTATTGTCTCTCGCGATTGCCTTTTGACAGTTTCTGAAGTTATAAAGTGAGACTCCGACAGACCTGATGTAAGAAGTCCACAGATATCTGTCTTTGAGTTCATCTGACAATTTCCCCAGACTGTTTGTCATCACTATCTCGTTAATGACTCTTTCAGACTGTCCAGTAGATGATGTTGTTTGGCTTAATCGATTTCGCTTTTGCGATGT